GCTCCAGAGTCGCTGAACGGGGCTCGAACCGAGCGCGTGACCCCACCAATGGATTCCTCGTTCGAAGAGCAATCCATTGGTGGGGTCACACGTTCGGTTCGAGTCCCATTTAGCGACTCTGGAGCTCAAAACGCGTCCGGGGTTTAGACCGCCTCCACCGGTCTTCCGGCCCGCAGGTGGCGCGTTGCACCCAATCAGGCGTAAAAGGCGCGTCAAGGAAGGGGACGGCTGCAGCCAGCCGAGCGGGCCAACGCAAGCAACGCAGCCAGCAACCTCTTTCTCTACTACCCCCTCCGATTCCTCCCCCCCCCCCCACCCCACACACCAACATTGCCACACGCCCGGGCCGGCGGCGTGGCCGTCGCGGCGTCGCCCCGCCAGCCGCAGCCCCACAGCAGCCCCGGCCCCACGGCATACTGGACTGACAGCCACAATCCGCGAGCCATATTTCTCCAAGACCAGCCAGGCCGCAGCCAGGCATACCGCGGCCAGCCAGCAGCAGCCAGCCGGCAGGCAGGCAGCCAGCAGGCAGGCAGCGCTGTCCAGCGAGTTATGCGTCATCGACTTCGGGGTTGAGGGCCCAAGGGCTGCCGAAGGGCTCGGTCCGAAGACTTATTACGGCCGGGAAGGGCTCAAGAGGAAGGACTTCGGAAGGGTTGAAGGCTGCCTCCAAGGGCAAACGCGCAAAGCGGGTTCGGTAGGGTTTTGACGGGTTTTGGGTTTGGCTGTGGGTTTGTTTAGGTTGCGAGCAGGGTTGAAGACCGGGCTGGGCTGCGGGCGAAGGGCTGGTGAGGGGCTGGCGATGATGGCCGAGAGCCAAGCCATCGCGTGGTCGGGCCCCACGGTGCCCCGCCGGGGTCTGGCCGAGGGGTGCCGCGCCCCGCACCGCGGCCGAGGGCGCCGAGGGCCCTTACACCCGCCAGAGCGCGCCAGAGCCCAGACATAAACCGGAACAAGGAAATCGCCGGCCGCCACCCCGAGCCCTCTAGCCACGCCGGGCCGACCAAAGCCCCAGTCCGTCTGCCGGCGGCCGGGCTCGACGCGGTGCTCCGTGGCGGTGCTCTACCGCGCCTCGGCCGGCCCCGCCGCCCGGGTCATTGCAAGCCAAGTGTCCGGACGTTACCGCCTCACCATTGCCGTTTCCGCTACTGGCCCACAAGGCCAATAAAACCCCATGCGGGGCCCGGCGGGGCTGGCGGGCCCCATTTCAGCATCGCGACGCCCCCGCCCCGCCCCGCCCCGGGGTCATTGGCACACCTCGCCGGGCTTGATCATCCCCCGTGCGCAGCAAATTGAGTGTAACGCAATAGGGGCAAAGCGGGCCGAGCCGCCCAGGGGCGTTCAAGGCGTTCCACCCCGCCCCGCCCCGCCCCGCCCCGCCCCGCCCCGGTCGGCGGTTACAAACTTGCCGAGACTTCTCCGCCTTTATTCCGTCTTGATCCGCCCCTGGGCCTCCGACTCTCCGACGGACCGCGCCGCCCCAAAGTTGAGTCGAATCGAGTTTACAGCGTGCCGAGCCTTTGCCTGCCTTTGGCCGCCTTTGGGCCGAACACCGGCCGCCCCGTGGCACAACACGCAGCGCGCAGTGCGTGCAGGCCGTGTGTGAAAGTGCGCACTGTAGCTCTGTGTGTGTGTGTGTGTGTGTGTTTGCCGCGCTCGTTACAAGGGTGCACCAGCGTCAACCCTGGCCGTCCCCCCCCCTCTCGATTCGAACCAATGAACACGTCGCCTTGGATCAATCCGTGCTGATGAGCTGCGAGGGCCGACCCTCCGAAACAATACAGACACTCTCAAAACAAAAATGAAATTGAGATTTTAAAAATGAAAATGACGTTATTGTGAAGGCGATGGCAGAATTCCGCTCTACGACTGCCACCCCTAGCGAGGCGAGGCAAGGCCGACGCGAAAACACCGTGTTCGCGGGCACGCCGCGCCCCGCCCCGCCCCGCCCCGCCCTGTCCAGCAGGTGGCTTGGCTCGGCGCCACGCTGCCGCCGCTATAACCTCGCGGTAAAGCGCATGTCGTGACGTCACGCCGCTCATTTCGGCGAGCGAGGGCGGCACGCCACGCCACTGCCTGGCATCGCCTGGCTCCGATTGCAACACGGCCGATTAGAATCAGCGCATACTCCCATCAGGACGAACCGACGCGCCGAGCGCGAAGCGAGCGAAGCGGGCGAAGCGCGCACCCAGCCAAGCCCAACCAACCCGCATCGGAAGTTTGAGCGCGCCGCTCGCAAGACGGGGGGGAAGGGGCGGGGCAGCAAAGCGATTCCGCGCACACGGCTGTGTCGCTTTCGACTGCTCTCTCTCTCTCTCTCTCTCTTTCTCGCGCCCTCGCGGTCGCGACCCGCGAGAGCGAGAGAGACGGAGAGGGCCACACGCAGGGATTCGCGGCCGTTAATACCGGTTAGGCCCTTATCGGCGTGACCATGCCGACGGAACGAAACGAAACGTATCGGGTTCGGTTAGGGCTCCGGACGCACACACACTCACACACGCACACACTCAAACACACGGACCAGCGGCCGCGGCGGCGCGAATTATTACCACCATTATGATTACGTGTTATTACTAATATTAATAATAATTTTTGATTTGGCGCGAGAGAGGGTTCGGCTCTCGGGTTCGGCGCGTCGGCCGGCGACATGGCGGCGCGTCGGCGCGCTCTGCCCGGCTCCGCCGCCTCGCCTTGCACCGCGTCAAATCGCTGATTCAAGATCATTGCGCGCGGCCGAGGCTCGAACCAGCCGCCCGGTAATTTCCAGAGCAGCCCGCCCGGTTACAGAGAAAGAAAGAAACAAAAACAAGACATAAAACACGGGAAAAACAACAACTTTATCGGCGTACACCCCTCGCTCCCTCTATTCTAGGCAACGCCACTTCCCGCCTTCCAGCCCCCAAAACACAAACTAACGCCAAGCAAACAACCCGTTAACGGATTCCCGCAACGGACGGACGGCGACGGGGGGTCCGCGCCCACACCGTACCACCACGCAGCACCATGGCGTCGTCACCCAACCGGCGCGCCGGACAGCGCACCGCACCAGCAACGCACCAGCGGCCGTCAAAACGCCGGAAAACGTGTTTACGTCCCCGAAATAGCCGCCCAGCCGTAAACACACACACGCACTCACACAGTGCAGGCGCAACCGCACCTCCCCCAGCGACAAAAGCGGCTCGGGTTCAAATCCCGGCACAAAGCCTTCGCTTCCCCGCGGCCAAAGTTGGCAACCCTAGACACAGTGCGCGCGACAACACCACCACCACCGCCGCCAGCATCACCGCCGGCGCGGGACGCTAGGGGTTCCACCCGTCTCGCGTACGTCTCCGTTCGGTACCGCGCGCGCCCCTCTCTGCTGGCGGGATTTGCATTTTGATAGGCTATAAATCGCGGCGGGCCGGCCGCACTGCCTCACTCGCTAGCCGAGCGTGGCGTGGCGGGGCGGGGCGTCAGCTCCTGGAAATGACAATCTAGTCGGACAAGGGGAGCGCGGTGGACTGCCAGTCATTAATATTATTATTTCAATTTACTTGTCGCTCGAGGGGACGCGGGGAGGGGCGGGGTGGGGTGGCCGACCACAGCTCGGCCGCCGCGAAAATAAGAAACACCAGCGGGGCGACAGAGACAAACATGTCAATATGGGGCGCGGGCGGCCCGGCGGCGACGCGCCCCGCGGCCACGAGGGTCTCCTCGCGCGGCCCGACAGCCACCTCGCGCGGCCACGACGGCCACCTCGCGCGGCCACGACGGCCACCTCGCGCGGCCACGACGGCCACCTCGCACGGCCACGACGGCCACCTCGCGCGGCCACGACGGCCACCCCCGCGACGGGCCCCCTCGACGGCCACGACCCTCGCGCGGCCACGACGGCCACCTCTCGCGGCCACGACGGCCACCTCGCCAATAAAAGCGACGAGTCACGCCGCACCGACGCCTCAGCGGCACCGGTGCACTGTAAGGCCCGCGGGGGGTCCAGGCCTTCGTCCAGGTGGCCCTCATTACTGGTCGGCACAGACCGAGCAGCCAGCCAGCACCTCGAGGCGCGTTTTGTCACTAGCTAATAAAGTGGAATAATTTACTATTTGGCCGGCTGCTGCTACACTGGTCCGCCGCTGCGGCCCGCGCGGCGTTCCAACCCCTGACGGGGCGCGGAGCGTGGAGAGCTTTGCGGTTTGTGGCTGGCTGCCTGGCTGGCTGCCTGGCTGGCTGCCTGGCCGTCCACCCACTATGGATGGCCCTCATAAGTCACGGTACGCCGGCCCGGGCGCCCCGGCCACGCTATTGCCAATCAGTTTGGGAAGTTGAGAGCGGCGCGCCTGGCTGGCTTACACGTGCTGAGGACAGCGGGACCCTCCCCGCGAAAACTAGCGTCCGACAGCTTTCTGATGTGATTAGGGCACGCTCACCTGGCTGTCTGCTCGGCCGGCCGGCCGGCTTAACCAACCCCAGGCGGCCAGGCAGGCAGGCAGGCAGCACGGGCCGCACGCGCGACGACTTACAAACAAACCACAGGCAAAGCCAAGTAAGTACTTACTTGCGCCCCACCGGTGCCGGCCAGGCCAAGAAGTGCACCACGTACTAAGGGGCGGCCGAAACGAGCCCCAACGCCCAAAGCAGCAACCAACATTGGGGCCCAGCCCCACGCATTGCCATCACCCCCAGCGAGAAAGTGCACAGAAAAACAGCAGGAACTAGAAACGCAATGGAAAGAAGCATAGAAAGAATGCAGAGGCGGAGAGAGCGGCATGCAAGACAGAGAAGCGCAAGTGGCGACGCAGCCACCGGAAAAGAAGTCGTAACATCGTGAGTATAGTAAGTGCCAAGAGTAACTCGCGTAATTCACACTTCTACAGTCCGAAAGATTAAATTTTGATAAGCCAAAAGAGTCAATACATCCAAAACAACTATTTAATGAAGTTTTTTTTGACAAAGTGAGGAAATTTCCAAACTGCTCTACGATAGAGAAATGCATGCTTTATTTGATTTTTGGCACGTACTGTCTCCGGGCGCTCCTGGTACCCCTGGCAGAGCGCCGGCCGCCGCAAGTCCCGCGAGGCCCAACTCACCTGCAAAGCAAAAAAAAAATACAAACGTGACAACAATAAATAAAATCGCAAAAATAATCGCAATGCCACCGCAGGGCGACGACAGAACGAACGAACGAACGACACACACACACACACACACACACGATATGGACCGGCCGGGCGTGACGACAACAACAACAACAAGACCCGCAGAGAGTACCAAGCCGCGGGGACGGAATGGAACCGACAAAGTGCCTTATCGCGCAATTAGAAGACATACATATGGAAAACACGTGACAGCAATGCCACACACACACACAGAGGCACAAACCACACACGCATGCAACCAACGGGGCATAACACAATGCTTTTTATTAATCCAGCATGCTCAAAAGCTCTAAAAAGACAAATGCACAGAGTATGCAACAGGTACGAAAAATTGTTTATTTTTCGTAAAATGTGGTATTTTATAGGAATTTAAATTAACAGTGGATTTAAGGGCAACAATGATATTCCGCGCGGCCGCCTGTCGCCCCCGGAGACAAGCTGCCGTGCCGCTGTGGGGCCCGGTGGGGCCCGGTGGGTCCCACAGTGTGGGGCCCCGAGGCCGCGAAATTGGAATCTCCATTACCGGGCGTGCGACATGATGGATACACAGAGTAACACACATCAACTCATCGGACTACTTATTGGCGGGGTGGGGGGGCCGGGTCTGGCGGCTGCCACGGCCCACCGGGACGTTTTGTTCTTGTTCAATTTTTTATTTATTTCCTTTTTTCTCTCGCTCCCGCTGCAGATGATGAATGGCCCACGCGAGGCTCGCCGCGACACGACGCGCGTCGCGCAAATTAGATTTACATACAAACGAGCCGAACACGCCCGGGGAGAAACAGACCGAAATCGCGGCGCCAAAATTCCGGTAGCGCCGTCTCTCTCGCACCCCCACTGCCAAGCCCACGGCCCAGCGGGGCGCCCCGCGAGTGCGAGAGAGACGCCAGTCTTTTAATCAGAGCGGGATAATTGGCCGCAAATGGGTCGGCCGGGGATGACGAGAGCCCCTCGGAGCCCTCCAGGTGCGCGGATCCTTCTCGAGGCCGTCTGGGCCGCGGGCAAGGTCACGCCAAGGTCGCGCCAAGGTCACCGCTATCAAAATTTCAGACCACATAGCAAACAGGAGTCCCGAGAGATGATGATGCGCCCTCCAACGAAGGAAAGCACAAAAATCCGAGCGGCAACTTCTTTCTCTCTCTCTTTTTTCTCTCCTCCAGAAAAAAAGGTCGTCCGGGACAGGCGCGATGCATCACTTTAATTAATTCCGCCAAGTATCGGGCAGCGACCACATCACATCATCTTCATTTTAATTTCCTTTTTTCCTCTTCGGCCGAGGCGGCCACGGGCGTAGCGAGCGGCTCCAGGCTCCCTCCACCCGGGTGGGCGACCGCCACGGCCACCGCCCCGAGCCCTCGGGTGTTCTGCCCCGCTCACCTGACGCGGAGCCCCACCGTCAAGCTGCCTGTGGGCCCGGCGGGGCGTGGCGGGGCGTGGCGGGCGTGGCGGCGCCAATGAGCCCCATGGGCCCTGCTGCAGGCCGCCCGGTGGGGCGCCACGCCGGCCACGCCACTGTAATCGGCCCCACCATCGCCAAAATGCTCGACATGCAAATGCGAAGGGCCTCGCGCCGTTTTTCACGGTGCTCGATTGAGTCACAGTGACAGAGTCAGTCGGCGGGGCGGGGCGGGACGGCTCAAGCGCCGCGCTCACAGTCTTCACGGCGCTTCACGGCGCTTCACAGCTCGGCCCGTTCATCGATCCGAGTTGCCCAAGCACCATTAGAAAACTGAGGTGGAAGGGGCCGGAGCAGCCGAGGGCCGCAAACAAAGGCAGGATTCACGTCAAAGACACTGCCTCCCGATAGCGCTAATAGCGGCAGCGCCAGCCAGACTCCAGCGCCACTAGCGGCGGCAGCGCGGCTCCAGGGGCTTCGGGGCGGGGCTCCAGCTCGGCTCCAGCGAGCGGGGCTTCTGGCAGTCTCACTCCAGTCGGTCATCATAATACTCCAGCAGAACCAGTCATCAGGCTCGAGCGGCAGTCATCGAACTTCAGCCACCAACAGACTCCAGTAGTCATCCAGGACTCCAGCAGTCGTCGTCAACAGACTCCAGCAGTCGTCGTCAACAGACTCCAGCAGTCGTCGTCAACAGACTCCAGCAGTCGTCGTCAACAGACTCCAGCAGTCGTCGTCAACAGACTCCAGCAGTCGTCTCGGGAGGCGACTTTAACTCCAGCAATCGTCAGACTCCAGCGGTCGTCAGACTCCAGCCAGCCCCGCAAAGTTTTTCGGGGCCGATACATCCCGGCGCACTAATTTAAACGCGTGCTCGGCGAGCGGGGCCGAGCGGGGCCGAGCGCGCCCCGCCACGCGCGAGCGTTCGCACGCCCGGAGTTGGGACCGTTAGGGCAGATGGAACGGCTGAAACGTGAGAAGGGAGTGACGAACGAGACAGACTCGGCGCGCCGGGGAAGGAGCGACAGAGAGCGAGAGGGAGAAGATGAGTTACACGACGACGGGCACGTAAACCGCTGCATAAGACGAGTGTGTGCGCGAGAGAGGGGGCCGATAAAGGTGAGGAGGGAGAGAGAGGATGAAGTAGAGGGCGAGGGGGGCGGGGGTCTGGGGGGGTCATGCGTAAACGCTGTCACTATACGGTGATGCATGGTGTAGGAGCTGGCGGAAGCTGCGACGCCCCGCGGCACCTGTGTGTGTTTGTGTGCGTGTGTCTCTCTCTCTCTCTCTCTCTCTCTCTCTCTCTCTCTCTCTCTCTCTCTCTCTCTCTCTCTCTCTCTCTCTCTCTGTGTATGTGTGGCCTTATGACGGACACAATATCGTGACGCGCTGGGCTGTACTACTGGACCACACACACACACACACACACACACACACGCGGACAAAGAGGGCAATGGGCCGTGGCGGGGCGTGGTGGCCAGAAACACAAGGGAGGCGAGAAGAGTGGTCACACACACACACACACACACACACGCAAAGGAAAAGGGTTGGGCGTGCGGCCGGAGGCCCCCCACACGCTCCGTCCATGCGAGCACGACACACGCACACACACAGACACACACGCAGAGTGGATTCAGTGGTAGAGTTTACGGTCCAATGTCCGGACTAGAGAGACGTAATTGGTTTACGAAGTCTCTGGAGATCGGCCCGCAATCCGCCGAACGCCCCGCCCCGCCCCGCAGTGCGACCTGCCCGCCTGACACCTTCACCCCTTTACCCGGCCAGCAAGGCCCCTGCACTGCAAATTGATGCTCCCCACCACACCAGGAGAGAAGGAACCAACACGTCCAAGTCGGAGACGCATCACCTTGCCCTCTGCCGTCGCCCCAAAACAAGAAGGCAGACGGGCAGGCAGGCAGACAGGCAGGCAGGCAGGCAGGCAGGCAGGCAGACAGGCAGACAGGCAGCAGACAGGCAGGCCAGGCAGACGGGGAAGGGGGAAGACAGGGCAGGTGACACGGCAGTCGGCAAGGGGGGCAAATCAGAAAATGCGAAAATCTAGTTCTGAGATCTATAGGCCGACGAGCGGCGTCTGAGGTTGTGAGCGGGACCAGGCTAAAAGCCTAGGGCAGAGTCGTCCATCGCGAATCCCCCCGCCCCGTGCGCAAACACAGACACAGACACACAGACACTCACACACGCACACGCACGCAGACACACACGCGCTGTCGCCGACACAAGACAAAAGTCTCAATCTAGTGTGTCGGTTTGACAGCGCGCGACAGCCATTCCGCACACACCGTCTCCGTGTCCGTGTGCGACTCTTGTGTGTGTGTGTCTGTGTGTGAGGAAGACTATCACTGAACCAAGATGGATCTCCCCCACGTGTCACGGGGCGCCACGCCACCGCGCCACGCCACTACACACGCGGCCGCCGAAACCCCTCCGGCCTTCCTCTGGCCCCGTCGGCCAGCCCATGCCTCGGCCCATGCCGTGTCGCCAGGGCCCCGCCCGGGGGCCGCTCTAGTCCGCAGCACGGCCAACGTCGCCCGATACTCCGTACCGTACTCCGTGTTCCCAGAACCATAGGCGCCGCCATTCGGTGCACGTATTACGTACCGAGAAGAGCGACAAAAGTCCGTCGCAGCCAGGAGGGGCTTCCTGCTCCGTTCCTGCAGGGCATGCCACCCCTTTCAAGGGACAGGGCGCGACAGGGAGACACCCCCCGATTGCCCTGTGTTTCCTTTCCAGCCCCAAAAAAGGAAAGCAAGTCCAAGTCACTGACTTCTCTCTCTCTCTCTCTCTCTCTCTCTCTCTCTCTCTCTCTCCCCTCTCTCTCTTTTCTCTCTCTCTCTCTGTGGGTAGTTGTGTGTAGTTGTGTGAGAGTGGGGGGTGCTGCTATAGGAGCCCCTTTCTTCCACGGCGACGAAGACCCCCGGAAAAGAACAGAGGAGCAGAAGGAGGAGGAGGAGGATGGCTTTCGCGAAATCACGGCAGCATAGCTACAGTATATGGAGCCATCAAAACCCGCGTGTGCCCGCGCGGGCAAGCGCCGAGCTTTCAGCGCTGTCAATGTGTGTGTGTGTGTGAGTGTCTGAGAGACAGGCGGAGAGAGACAGAGATAGGGCACGTGTTTAGCAAGCGCTCCTTGCTGTTGCACACAGTTGCGAGCGCATCGGCTCGCCGGCTGCACGCGCGCTGCAGTAGTCGCCGTGGCCTATTACACACACACACACACACACACACACACACACACACACACACACACACACACACGCACTAAAGCGCGCGCGATTGCAAAAAAAGGGGGAGAAAAACCTTTGGCAATCACAAAGTGGGTAGAAAGCGCCGCGAATTCACGTTCGGGGGGGATGGATGGATCGCCACGCCACGCGGATCCCCAGGTGCATCCAATTAGGCTAGGCGCTTGCAGGCTGATTCGGGACGACACGCCCCGTCTCTCTCGCACTGCAGGCGCGTCGCGTGCACCCTGTGGGAGTGCGAGAGAGAGAGAGAGAGAGAGAGAGAGAGAGAG